TAACTTCGCGAAAAGTGCAACACGGTCTCACCGCAAAAGTGAACACACATTCAAGCAGTCTTCACACTCTACTTTGTCACATACCTGTATCAAGGTTCAGTGCAAAAGGACGCACCACCAAGCATAGGACATAGAACAAGGCATCACATTCCTTTCTTCATAAAGAAGCTTGGAGGTTAGTCTTCCAAACTCACCCCATACATAGTGAATCCTAGTCCGACTTTTCAAGTTTACAAATTCTTCGTGCTGGAGATCAAAAATGCAATCAGCATTCCGCGGCGATGTCATCTCCACCGCGCCAAACGCCTTGAAAGACCAGAGTAGCTACCACGCCTCCCTTGGACTACTGCTTATAAACCGACCACATCTCGCCAACCGGGAGCCACGCGCTTTACTGTTCCAATAAGACCTCAGACCCTGTTCACCCTTTCGACTGAAGTGAAAGAAGCTATGAAACAAACTGGCATACCTTATTTCGCCAAACTCAACCCATTCGTCCGAATGCCAACGTAATACGGCTATCACAACACATCAGTCGCTGCAACGAGCTCTGGGAAGATCTCTACCATGTGCTAAGCTGATGAAAAGCATGTTAACAACCTCCCCCTCATTCTTCAGATTCCTTTACTATCAACCGCTATCAAAAAATTATTGTCAACACAGAATACTCTGCCAACGCTGTTGCCAAATATTTCGACCTTTCTTTTCTAATCATGAGACTTGAAACATGCACGGATAAGAGTTTGCGGTACAGCTTCAGGTATTTATGTAACAAAAGTGGTAAGACACAACAGCAGTGATGGTGAGGATAGGAAGACGCAGATACCATCCAATTCATGAGCGGCCATTTCTCATTTTTTCTTCGTCGACGAACAAGTGGAAGCCCGGCGCACATTTGATTGAAGTGACTCCGACTTCTTATGGACGTTGCTTTTTGCCATTCTAGAGGAGGGCGGAGGCATCACCTCCTTATCTGTCCTCACCGTCGCCTCCGTCTACATCGAACACAAAAAGAATGTAGAGACAGAAAATGGACTAGTCGGTGAGCACGTAGCTACGCAACAATATCAACGAACCCACAGGCTCTGCTACCTGACATATTTTGTGAAGCACAGATATTGCTGTGATCAAAAAAGAGTTCAATGGCTAACCTTTGATGCAATACGAATATTGCGGACAGCGGCAGTGATAGCGGACGTCTTACAAAGGTGTGTTCGTGAGCTGGTAAACCGCTCTGAGATAGTCTGGTGAGTTCGAACCACCCCAGCTTCGTCATCCTCTTCTCCTTCCATTTCTAAAGGCGCAATTTTTTCATCTTCACCTTCTGCTTCTCCACTGTTTTCGTCATCTAAGAACACCAAATTTTTCGATGACAATGAGGAACCTATACGGATTAGATGTGATTATAAACCCTACTTTAAAATTGGTTTACAAAAACCATAAGAAGCCAGCTCATCAACACAGTTCTCCCCTGGGTCAACTAAACAAGTCGCAATGATGGATAAAAAACAAACTCTTCTTAAATCAATTGTGCATTTTTAGCTTAAATTACCAAATACCTACCATCCAAGGACAAGTCAGTTATTGTGTTCCTCCGATTCTCACATTGCAGGAGTGAGGTCCTTTGAAGAGTACCCCCGCCTTCCTCCAAGATCAATTTTGAGGGCCCAGGAGACTCTAGGAGGATCGGACGATCCTCACGATGGGGTGAAAGAGGCGGGTCAGAGGCCTGCACCTCAACGTTTGGACTTTCAAGCAAGAAGTCGTCCATCGTTAATCCCGAAGCAGATATACTTGCCTGAATGTTTTTTCTAAAGCGATGAAGACTCAGAAACGCACAGCGCTCAACTTTCTGTGAAGAGGTAAAGAAAGTCGTGAACAAACGATAGAAACGGTGCACTAACCACTAAACAAAATACAAACAAGAATGCAAAACTAATAGTCAAGAAAACTAAGACCCACCATATTTTCTAACTGCTTTTAATTAAATAGGTAAGTCAATTGATTGGTGAGAGAGCATTAGCAAGTAATGAAATGAGATGGTGAATTACTTTGAACATGAGATCTGTCATGCGAAGGAGATCCTTGTATAGTTGGGCTTTGTACAAGGATAGTCGAAGTTGACTGAGTACTCGAACGTAAAGGCGAGCCTCTACTGACTGGGGAGAGTTCAAGATGCGATTACTGAGACGCATGGCTAGGTCGTCGTGGCAGGGATTATCCTGCAAGCATTACCAATAATGGTAGTGTTAACTTTCTCAAGACTGCCAGAGGAATATTATTCGCAGCGATTTGTAAGCCTAAAGCTGAAACATTATATAAACCGAATTTCATTGCTAAGAGAACTTTAATTGTCAATAATTCTACCGTCAGGTAACGTTACCTGTGGGAGACCAGGTATCAGGACATGACGCATGGCTAATATTTCATGAGGTCAGAAGAGCATTATCCTAGAGGCAGAAATTGCAAGAAAGCTCTCGATGGAAACGTATGGAGGGCTAAGACAATGCTTGATTGCTAACTACCTAGCACCACAGTAAATTGGCAAAAAACCTGCACTTTTCTTCAGACATCGAAATGCATTTCCAAGCCTGTGAACTAAAACTTCATGGTTTAAATCAACTAAACTTACAGTACTTTTGTAATCCTCCCCATTGTCAGCGTCCACTCTGCTCTGCACCTTAGGGAAGAGGCAGGAGGCATCGGTAAGTCGCGCAAGAAGATCAACGACAAGGCCAGGGTCGATCTCGGAGAGAACAGATGTGGATGGCGCTGCCACGAGGATGGACAGTGTGGGAAGGACCGCATCGGCCACACAGGCCTGCCTCTCGGGGCTGGAGCAAGCGAAGTCGGTGAAGAAGACCCCCAGGGACTGGCTCAAAGTAGGCAACTCTGCAGTTTGCGGATTAAACCACAGTAGCAGCAGGCGTGAGATCAGCTGACCAGACAATAAACGGCCGAAGATAAAGAGCTTCGCTACGCCAACACCCGCTGCAGTGCGCAAGTCTGCATCCTGAAGAGGTTCGGGGAAGTAAACAAAGGGGAGAATTCCAGAAGCCTCTACAAACTGCAAGCAGAGCAATTAGGCATCTTTACTATGGGTGTTGATTGTGTATTATACGACTACAATGCAACCATTCTCTTCTATTACAAGCGTACAAAAATCACCATTTTAAATAAGGACGAGCAAGGAAATCTCAGTTCACGTTTCCGACTTAGAAGAAAGCGTTTCGTCCGATCAATGATGCACCCTTCCATGAACTGGTAGAGGCCTTTTCTTCCAAAAAAAGGAGGTCTCAACGTTTACGAACATTGTAGTAGTTTTACCTCAAAAGCAAGCCGAAATCTTACCAGTAATGAAGCATTTTTAATAACTTCATTAATGCGTCATCAAAACTGACCATCCCGTTAGTTTGGAATAACCTAGAGTAGGTAGTGAAGACAACTTTACTTCAAGAAGTTGTAGTTACGGATCTTTCTTATTTAACTTGGGATGGTTTATTTATTAAGCAAAGGTCCTTTTACCAGTCGCCATAGTGCTGAAAGTAGGCATTAGAAAGCATGTCAGACGAGCAAGATTTAAGCGACGACTGATAGCGGAGTATTGTAAACAAATTTAACACATCATAGGAAATCAAAACAATTTGAGAAGTACTCAAGCACAAGTAGTCAGACCTCCTCCTGCATAAAACAGAAAGGGGCCAAATGACTCAAAAAATGATTAACCCCTTTTATAACCGAAAAAAGGATTTAACTTCAGCTTCCACCTCATCGTATGCCTATTATGTGGATGGGGAGAACAGGCCCTCGTAAAGATGATAGATGAGAAGTGAGTAAAAAGGCGCAAATAATTACGCACAAGTAGAAAATTGAAAATAAGCTCGAAGAAATTGCATTAAGTCGATTTTTTCTGGTTACTAAAGTCACGTAAAAGCTGTTCCTCGGGGTCCAAAAGGCGTTCGCATTGCAGAGGAGCACTATTCTCTCAAAAGCAGTGATTGAAGGCTCAGATTGTGACCACAAAGTTACCCGAATTGTGCGCTTCATGAGTAGAACGGTGAAGCGGGAGTGGTAATTTCATACAGCAACCAAATATGTCGATCTGCAGTGGCTAAGGTGGTCATCATTTTGTTGGTTTTTAACAAGGAACAAGAACGAATAAGATTAAAACTCAAAAGCAACCATTTACATAACCCTCCCGAAGTTGACATACATACCTTTGATTCAGGATCCAGAGTACTCAGCTAAACACGTAAAAGTTTTTCAGATAGGATCAATCAGAATCAATTTATGGTTACAAATATGCTTACTTTTGGGCTTTCTGTCACATACGTAGGGGCTATGAGACTAGGTTAGAGATGAGAAGGACTCACGTCACTATCGATGAGTTCCACCATAGGTGCCAATAAACGAAGAGCAAGACTGACGGTTTCGGAAGCGGTAGTGTTGACCGAACAGGAGCCGGAACGTCCGCTCTTCAGCAAAACAAGGTCGCCTAGGAGACAAGGCTAACACTCAGTCAGAAGAGTCGAAGAATATTACGCGATCAAAATGGATCTGTAGAAGTCAGTAATGTGCTTTCAGGAAAGAAGGGAATTAATATGCTTTGTTGTTTCCAGGAGAATCTAACCAACGACCCGCGATTAAATGAGGATCCTAGCTACAAAGGTCAGTCGCCACCGCAAAACGAAATTCTCCTCATTCTTTCCACTCTTATTGCTGTTCATTCTCAAGGGAACAAACGGGACTAGCTCATTAATTTCAACCACTCCCACGGATTTCTTTCGACCTTAGTAGTAAGGTAGATTATGCTCAGCTATAAAGTCGAGGTATTGACAAATTTACACGGACTTGGAAAGATGTAACAACTTAACCTCGTGCGCGTGCATTTTGCGCCAGGCATCCAGTATTCTAAAAATTAATGATCTCTGGGTGACCTCATCATCAATGTGCTTAAAGAAATGAACCTGGATAAGTGTGTGAAGTAAAAAAGTGCAATGGAAGCGGGAAACCTCACCAAAACTATTCAACCACTGGTACAGATGCTTTTGATCAGACAATTATAAAATTATCAAACAAGGTTGTACAGCAAAAACCACAAACCAATGTCCAAGTCGACCTCGACAAATTTCTCTGCCACCTCCAGAAAGGGATGAAGGCCGAAAATCACGAAGACATCGATAATGCAGTTGATAGCTGTCACCCGAACCGTAGCATGATCAAGCTTAACAGCCTTTAAAAAAATCGAAAAGCAACAAGGTAATGCAAGTAAAACGGCAATCTTTCAGTTACCTATACATTTATGCATGCCTCATAGAAGAGTGAGAGATATGACTTAGTGAGAGCCAAATCGAGAGTGCAGCAGAGACCCAGCGCCAAAATCGCCTGATTACGGATGGCCAAATCAGTATGTTGGATGCTGGGCAGAATCTAAAGGATGGACAGACTGAGTGGTCAAAAACAGAGGGGAAAATTGGATAAACAAACTGGCACCAACCAAATTATAAAGCAACGAACGAAGAGAAGGTGGGAGGGACCAGAGAGAGGGAGACTTTTGGATTGTAACAACAACTATTTTGTTAGCCTTCAGCACCACGTCTGCAGAAAGCCGAGAGAGGTATTTGATCTGTCGACGAACCAGAATAATTTTTGGATCTGATTCCCCATTATCTTCTTCTTCCTCTTCCTCCGAGTCGACTATTTCCACTACCTCCCCCGTGACCACCTCTGTCTTAGTGCTAGAGGAGACGTGAACCGAGGAGGCGGAGAGAACCGGACGGCTATTAGTATCTGGTGTACTGGCGACAAAAATAAGCAAAAATGACGTTAA